GAGGAAGTCCTGTTTCTAAGGAGCATTAAGGGTGTATGTTTTCCAAGACAGATCTGTTCGTTCCTCAGGAAGTGTATAGTAAATTCAGGATTCTTTACTAACACCACAGCCCAAAGGTATCACATTTCTTCAGCTTTCCTCATTCGTTATCCAGCTATTGAATATATATGATGTTATTGAAAATATCTGTGCCAGGTGCCCCTTAGCCCTCAAGTGATATCTTTGATTTTTAACACTTCAAAGAGGTCTCCGATACAATCCATCATCTGATTTCCTAACTATTGGTGTCATGAAGTTTGACTGGGAATTCAAGGGAAATTAAATTCTTGGCACTTCAGTCTTTTATCCATTTCCCATCATATTGCTTATTGGTCAAGTTGTAAGAATTCCAGTTTTCTTTATGTTGAGGTGTAATCCACATTGAAGTTTATAGTCATGTATCTTCCTTAATAAGTCAGTCAAGTCCTCTGCACGTTAGATAAATATGGTAGGTTGTTAATGAGTTCTCCTCTGATCCTGATGCTGTGATCTTCCTTATTTATTTCAGATTATTTACTCAGAATACAAATGGAATAAGTATGTCAAAAGATTATAATCTTGACACACATCTTTCCTGCTTTTAAGCCATGCCATATTCTCTTGTCCTGTTCAAATAACTGGCTATGTACAGGTTCTGCTTGCGAACAATTAAGTGTTAGGGAATTATCATTCATGGAAATGTTTTCAGTCATTTGTTATGGTCCACACAGTCTAATGGCTCTGCATAGTTAATAAAAGAGGCTAACATCTTTCAGTATTTTATGCTTTCAGACAAAATCCATTTGGTAGCAGCAATAATACCCTTCATTTCACATCCTCTTATGACTTACATGAATTCCTGGTAGTTCCCTCTTGGTGTATTACTGCAACCATTTTTAAAAACTATCTGTAGCAAACATCTATTTGTGTATAATTAGTGGACTCTTGGTGGCATAGTGGATTAACTGATGGGCTTTCATCAGCAATGTTAGCAGCTCTGTCTACTCCTGCAAAGAAGAGTTAGAGACCCACAGTAAGAGTTCCACTCTTTCCTATCAGGCCACTGTGAGTCTGAAACAACTTGCTGACAGGGAATTTTCTAGTATAAGTGATATCATTCCCTAATTTGCACATTCTGTGGGATCATCTTTCTTGGGAAACAGCAATGAGCACAACTATAGATCTCTTCTTGTTAGTTTACTAGGTGGCTTTCTTCCAAACTCCTTAGCACAAATGAGCATGTCTAGCATTGCATGTGCTTGCTGAAGCATCCAAGGCTTGTGTTGTATCAGTGCCATTGGTGCCTTTTAGATGTCTTCCTTTAATGTCTTTTATTCTTCAGAGAGCTATCTATTGAAGTAGCTGCATGTAGCCCAATTGATTTTAGTAAAGTGACATTTTGTATTCTTTCCATCTTCTTTCCATGCTTCAGAGTATTGTGTATTAAAATACCAAGCACTTAGCACCATTTTGCAACTCTGTATATACTCAGCCTTATTGACTTACTCCAGGTTGTACTTAGAAAATGGGAAGAAGCGGGGACATGACACACCTGTGGGAAGTCAGCACGGCAGCACAACCTTCTTGAACCTCCTTCATGATTGTGTCCCAGAGGTACCTCTTGGAGCAGGGATCCATTCCAGAGCTGGGCTCATCCTACCAGGGGAAACAGACATGAGAGTGATCGTTGAAAAACACACATAGGAATATAACACTTCGATGAGAAGGTATAGCCTGACCGAAATAAAAGCATAACTCTGGGTTTATTAGTCAGAACTTAATTGACTGTCTTTGAAAAATCATTTTACTTGGGTCTCTTACAGATATCATAACATTCCATAGTTCAACCACATCAAACAGTACCCATTGATTGTCTTGTGCAACAGATTATGATGACAATTTAAGATATTTGAGTTGCCCCATAAATTTGATTGGACTGACCAATCTTGGGCTTTTAAAATATATCCTTACCCTACACACATAAAATTTAAAATGATAAAATTGCATACAATAGAAACATATGATATGAGAAAAGGGCTTTACTTATTTAGAAACATGAAATAAACTCAACTCTCTTAGAACCTGCACTTTTCTCCTTCAATAAACACCAAAGAACTTCTTATATAACTTCCTTTGGAAAGCACTCTTTCTAACATGTATGACACATTTCCAACATGTATGTAGGGAGGAAATACTGAGCATATTTTTCTTCAGAGCTTGGGTTATCTACTTCCTCCTCAATAAAGGGAAGTTACAAAAGATAAAACACAAAAAAGGGGAAAAAAACCTGGTGTTTTCTGCATGGTTAGTAACATACAAGTTTGTGGCCTATATAATATTTGACATCTATATGACAATGGGAAGAGATGTGGCAGTCTTTCTTGTAAAGATACAATGATACAGTTTTGGAAACCCTGAGTTCTGCTCTGTCCTATAGGGAGGCCACTGTAAGTCAAAATGGACGCAGGGGCAATAAGTTAATGGATATACACACACACATATCCTATCATATCCAATAAATACATCCTATGCATACATCAATATATAATATATACAGCATATAACATAGCCTATCTAAAATCTATCATTATTATTATTATTATTATGTAGTCCTAGTGGAGCTGTGGGTGGCACATCGGAGTCCTAACTGAAAAGGCTGGAGGTTCAAACTCACCAGCCTTTCTGTGGGAGAAAGATTGGGCTATCTGCTCTGGTAATGAGTTATAATCTTTGACCACTGTAGATATGGTAACTATGAGTCAGTATGATGGTAATAGGTGGTTGATGATAATTATTTTGCGTTGGTCAGTAGGATAAATTTTCCTGATTTCTACTTGAAAGTCATCCTGACAATTCTTTCTCTTCTGTCCATGTAGAAAGGACATATTCTTTAAACAACCATCACTATATTCAAAGGAGGTTCACAGGCACCAAGTCCTGTGTGCTCAATGTGTGTCATTAAAGCTTTAAAGCTTTCATTGACAGGTATTATCATCAGGACCACTTCAAGTGCATATTAAGAACGCATACAAAGTGCAAGGTTACTTGACAGAGAGTTTCAGAAGTAGGATTTAAACCCCATGAATCTCAGTCTGTCTCCAGAATCCCCATTTTAACCCTGCTATAGAGAGCCATGCAACCTGAGAGAAAAGATATTTACAAGCGTGTGAGGGGCAGGTGGGAGAGAGAGACAGAGGCAAAGCATATCATTAGCTAGGATTTATAAGGATGAGAATGGCTGATTCTGATGAAGGTGTGATCTATACATACAAATACAAAAGGAAATCTATTAAAAATAATATGATACAGGAGAAATGCGTTGACTTTTAGATTACTAGTGAATTAATATTGTTTAAAAAATTCTTAATATTTATGTTTATGGTATTTTCGATTCCATATATTAAAACAATTTATATGATACACGTTTTATAAAATTTCAATGACAGTTTACGTTTTTCATGGTAAATATTGTCTTACACCAAAATCATTTATTAGTTCAGAGAACAAAATTAAAGCTTTGAGGCTACATCCTTAAAGAACTCTGATAAGCTAAAAGAAATTCAAAATCTTATTTCAAAGCATTGGCATAGTAGTGCTGTTTCCTCTACTCACCAACAAAAGAATTTCAGGTTTCCCCACCAATGCCAGGGCTGTAGAAAGTTTTCTTTTGGTTCCACCACTGTAGGTGCCAACAGGTTGGTCCACATGGGCTTCCAAGTGCAAGCGCCTCACGAGGTCTCCAGCCACCTGGAAGAGAGACGCTTTCTACAATTGCAACTACTCAGAATAGTGTGCACTGCCATTTCCTGCCTCCAAACCTTTACTCTGGATTCAATACAGCCCACCTGCTAGCAAGAGCATATCTGAAACACCTCCACACATGGTGCACAGAATAATTGATAATAAACTGCTAGAAGCCAAGCTTTTCGTAGAGCATAGTGCATCTCAGTGAGGGTCACAATACACAAATATGTCTCTCATGCAGGCAGTATGAGCATAACATGTTGCATCAACGCTGAGATGGGTGAATCTCAATGTCAGTGTGAGTAGGAGAAGCTAAAATATGGGCAGATATTGTTAGGAATTTCTCTAAAAGGGTAAGACAGCATTCATGGTGTGATAATGACACATGTCAAATATCATTTGTTGGAAAAAGGACATTTTGGACTTTTATTAGATTCATAAGTATAAGAAAAGGACAAAAATGTATGTAATGTAACATGTATAAAAAAGGAAGAAACTTTCATTTTACTTTCATCCATTTTCCTCAAAAGACTAGCAATATGTAAACCAGTCTACAAGAACAATAAAAAATGTGTTGGACTTCTATAAATTTCATTTGATGCCCCCCTCAAATTGGTTGTTTCCACAGGCAAAAAAATTCCATTTGCACACATGGCCACACAAATTTCTACATATACAGCCATTATTTAAAAGTTATCCTGACTGAAAGGCTCATTTTAAGGAACCAAGGGCATAAAACGGATATGTATGTGTTCTCACTCTCTCTCTGGCCTTTACCTCCTGTCCGCTATTCCTCCCGCCTTGCCCCGTCTAATTCCTTGTAACATGAGAAGCAAAAGTGAGTGTGAATAAATGAAAACTTCAGGATAAAATTCATTTCTCAAGACAGGATAGTTATTTCAGCTTACAGTGATATAAGAATATCGTTCATTAAATTTATAGTGTCAAAAATGCAATAAATAGGAGAAGATACTAGGAAGCAAACCACAGCAGAATTTTAATTCTAGGAATGCACAGATACTAATAAAATTACCACTCCTTTTCACTAAGTTTGTCATCTTATGACATATTGTCGTATTATGTGTTGCTATGATGCTGTAACGTACATGACCAGCAATTCAAATACCACCAGGGTCAACCGTTGTGGACAAGATTGACAGAGGTGCCAGACTAAAATAGACTAGGATAAAAGCTATGATGACCTATTTCCAAAAATTAGCCACAAAACCCTATGGATCACAACAGAATATTGTTGATGAGCCCCTAAGTTTGGACGGCACTACAATTTGTCACTAAGTATCTGCCATTCCCGTCATCTCGTGTTTGGAATGTCTTCGTGTTCTTAGGTACCCCGTATGTTTGGAAAAGAGAAGGGTCACAGCTGTCTTTTGTCTTCTCATTCTTCTACCCACCACCTCTCTCCTTTCAGAAGTGAGACCCAGACCCAAATACCCAGTACAACAAGGGATTCTACCGTTAGCCACGGTGACATTCACCAGACAGAGAACCCAGGCAGGAAGCACCACCCACTCACTAGGAAGCTGTCCATTCAGAGAACCCAACACACCCGATACATACTCTCTGCTGGCTTTCCTGTCAGATCCTGGAGTACAAAGCTTATGATATTTCTCTTGTGTTGTCAAGTTAACTGTTCAGTAAAATAGAAGGCATTTAAAGAGGGCAAATAAGCATAGATAACTAGAATGTCGAAAATGATACCATGTAGGGTTTAACTTCTACCACATCACTTCCTCTCATGGATATCTATTAAACATCCACTATAAATAGAACGTAGACTTTTAGTTTGTGTCCTTCAGTATAACCACACTGGGAAATATCTTTCAAGTAAATGTATGCTTTTCCTGCAAGAGAGAGGGAGGTGGACATCATACAGGACTCCATAGTTTCCTTCTCTAGAGAACTTTAAGTGTCTCACCTCAGGGATGTGCTGCTTTGGAATGCCTCGCAGACTGCAGTAATAATGAAGATGCTCCCAACCAGTCAGGAGCTCATCAAGGGCATCTTGTTGTGGACAGTAGCCAATGCGAACGCCAGCTCTGCCAGCCAAGGAGAGGGCCACTTCATCTCTGCTGGCAAAGGAAACATGGCTTAGAACAATAGGAATTTCTAAACAAGCGTTAGCCCAATTCTCACATTTGACTCATTCATAAGAAATTTATTGAAAGTATGATGAACAAAAGTAATTCAGTAAGTAGTAGCAACTCATGCATCTAGTGGGTGAACTGGTTTGACTTTGGAATAAAATGCTGGGTTGTTAATTAATTGGCTCCATTATTGCTTTAGGAATTAAATAAAAACATATAAAGCACTGAGCTTTGTACTTGGCATATGTAAAATTCTCTTAATAACTATCATATTTACTATTTTCTCACCAAAATAATTTATAATGAGAACTAACTAATTGGTCTGATTAATTAATAAATTATTATAATTTAAAAAAAATATATTTATTTTAATAATTATATATAATCATTCATTGAACACATGGAAGAATAGAGCAAAAGAGGAAAATTATTCACAATCTAAACCTAGAGTAAGTTCTACTATTAAGTGGTGCTAATCTTTCAAGTATAATTATGTGAGATAAGTGCAACAGTGAGGAAAAAATTTCAAAAAATCATGCCAAATAATTTCACCAATCTAAACTAGGACAATAATCTGCAAAACGAGGAAGCATAAAGAACCAGCTACCTAAAATCAAACAGATCGACAGTGAGATACATCATAGTGAGACAAAAAAATGAAATATGAGAGACAACTGAAAGCAGCTAAGAAAGAATCAAATAGTTCATATGCAGAATACTCTCAATAGGAGTAAGTGGTGATTTTGCCTCTGAAACACTGAAGGCCAGAAGGCATGGGAATGACATATTTAAAGTGCTAAAAGATAAAAAAAACAAACAAATAAATCAATCAAAACAAAACAAAAACAACCACACTTAAATCCACAGCTGTCGAACAAGGATATTAAACCTAGGGAAGCTGTCCTCCAAAGATGAGAGTGAAATCAAGCATGCTAAGCTACACAGTTCCTTCGGACAAGTCTTATAAAAAATACTTATGGGAGTTCTATAAATATATATATAAAGAAAAGATATTTGAAAGTAAATTAAAGTTATTCTCCCTAATAAGGGAATTATATGTGCAGTAATAATATAGTTATGCTTGATCATTTTAACTTTTTTTTCTTTGTTTTTAATAACAAATGTATAAAAATATGTGATTAAATTTTGATAAAGATCATATGGTATATGAACATTTAATTAGGAATAAAAACAAAAAGAAGGATATCGACATGAATTTAACATTGGCACCATCCTACACAGCGATATTATAAATATAAGCTGCCATATTTAGAAAATATTTAGGAAGACAAAAGGGAAAGAGAAGGGAATGGGAATTGCTCATGATAATGTCTCAGCAAAATGCAAAGTCAAGAAATTAATAAAGAGCAAACATGAAGAAAGCTTAACCCACACAGGAAATAGCACAGCGTAACATAATGTGGCATCACAAATGAACAACCTGGCAAAAAGTAAGTCATTTTCTATCAGTTACGACTAAGAATGTAAATGCACTAAATTCTCCAATAAAAAAATAGAGATAGCATGCATTTAAAAAAACAAGAAAACACTGTTTATGAGAAAGGCATGTTAGACTCAAAGACACAAGTAGGTTGAAAATGAAAGAATGGGGACAATATTTCATACAAGTTAAGACCAAAAGAGAGCTAAGGAGGCAATCATAGAAGACTTTGTGTCAAAATTGATCAATCAAGAAGATTTAACAATCATAAAAAAGTATGTACCTACTTCCCAAAGTAACCTGCACATACAGTGCAATTCTGATCTAGATCCCAATGTAATATTTAAAGAAATCGAAAAATTAGTTACTAGCTTCATAAGGAGTGGGAGGAAACTCAATATAAGCAATGACATCTATCCCTTGCAGACCTATTGCACAGCCACAGTAGCTAAAACATCCTGGTACTGCTACAACGATACACAGTAGACTAGTGGAACAGAGTACGTAACCCAGAAATAAATCCAGCTACTTGCAAGCAGCTTATCTTTGGCAAAGGAGCAAAGACTGAAGGAACCCTTACTTAATCCCATGTATGCAAATGAACTCAAAATTCTAAGTGTAAAAACCAGAATTATGACGTTCATCAATGAGAAACTAGTGGTAAACTTAAGGGTTTTCTTGTAGGGCATGCACAGAGTACCAAATGTAATGAAGGAAAAAGACACGGCACAGTTAAGCAAAGCTATGACTGGAACCTACTGAAAATAAGACACTGAGGTGCATTAAAAGACTTCACCCAAAGGGTAAAAAAAGATTTTTGACAACAGCACAATGGCCATGGGATTAATGTCTGAAATCTATTGAGAACGTAAGTGAACAAAAGACATGAACAGACATGCTTATGACCACCACTCA